GTCTCCTACGGTAATTTCTTTCCTTCGTGGGAAAGAAGAGGGACACTTGGGTAGCGGGTTGCAACAGGGGTAAGAAGTCTGCGGTGGGGACAGGGTAGCGCCTGAGAAGAAGGAAAGTGAGCCAGCTAGCACCTGCTGGCCGATTCCGCCGCTATCAAGCCGACCTTGTGGGTCAAACCGAATTCCGGAATGTTTGGCTTGGAGGCACCAGAGCTCTCCGTGCGGGCTTGGGACCAGGATCTCTAGGGTGCGGCTTGGGGTCTGGGGGATGATCTTCCCTGCCTACTGTCTGCTCTGGCGGATACAGATTCCTCTGACGCCAAGAAAGTACTGAAGGGGAGGGGCTGGCGCAGTGAAGCGCAGTGAAGTGACCTGGCCGGGACCTCTCCAGGACTAGGTTCAAGCCGAGTCCTCTCTGGACAGAGAGTAAAGGCGGGGAAGACCAAGGATACCTTGTGGGGTGCAGTAGCTGTGGACCAGGGCGAATTTACGTTGTTTTTCCCCTGACTTCCTTGGTAGGGGACCGTCAGAAACTCCGAATTCACACTTATTCCCAGCGCTCACCACTATCAATAACGAATCCTAGCATTGCAAAGAGTGCTCTGCGGAGAAAGCTAATCCTGATCTGGAAACTGTGTTTCTAGCCTGCAGCAAAGAACTAGAGACCCTGGGTGTGAAAGATGTTTAGGATTTACCAACTTTTTCTCGGCATCTTCCCATCTTTCTGAGGACTCACTCGGGGGATTAGGATTTGGGTTACAAAGCCCCCTTGTCCAGTACTTCATCCTGTTATTGTTATTTTAGCAGAGCGTAGACATGCTGTCTTCTTTGGCCGACAGTGGTTGACTGTGAATTGGAGGATAGGCTCGCTGGACAGCCAAACTTTGGCTTTTGCCCTCTCAGGGAAGGGCGCCCTCTTTCGTGCCCCGGAAAATCACCTGCAACAGCAAGGGACTAGCGCGGCGACCATTTGTCCTCTTTCGCCACTTGTGAGGTCGGAGTGTGGAGGGGATGTAGCCTATGGCTGCACAGCAACACCTAACCTAAACTTAGGGCTTTGGGGTCGTCTCAAAGTTCAAGCTTCTTAGAAGCAACAAAGACTTTCTAAAGAGCCCATCCTCCTACCCCTCCCCTTACCCCACTTTTCTCTCACTACACACACTCAGCCCCCTTTCTTTCTGAGGCTTGGGGATGAGTTTAAATCATTGTGCTCCCATTTCTTGATAACTGACTGCTTTGAGCTTTTGTTCTCTTAAAGTAGGATTGCGCACTGAAAGAAGGGCTGGAGATGAACAGTTTGGCCCCTTAGGACAGTTCCTGCGATGGACAGGAGCGGCCCTCGGCCACCATCCTGGCTGTGCTATTCACTCAACCCCTCCCCCTTCACATAACATTTCAGCCTCGTTTCATCTGGACAATCTTTTAGACCACACAAGTGCCTCTCGAAATTATTTAAGTTAAAAGAGTGCTACAAGAGTCCAGCCAAGGATATCTGGCATTAGTTATGCCTTCGCAAAGCTGAGTACAAATAGAAGTTGCCTTTTCTGGCAAAACTAAGCAAAATGCTGAACAAAAACACTTCTGCTATCTAGGCAACAGTGAGTACGAATGGTTGGTCTTTAGATTGCATGAGTTTGTCCTTGGGTTTCTTTTCTTTTTAAAAATCATGTTTTTCACAGTGAGAAATATTTTCAGAAGTGCTCTGTTATCAACAGTGAGGCAGCTCTTGAAGGCTACAGTACAAACACACAACTATTCCAGGATATATAGAGGGCGTTTTTGTTTGTTTGTTTGTTTTTTTCAGATGTGCTTTAAAAAATTGTTTTATATCTTGTTTTTTTTTTTTTTTTTTTTTGAGATGGAGTTTTGCTCTTGTTACCCAGGCTGGAGTGCAATGGCATGATCTCGGCTCACCACAACCTCTGCCTCCTGAGTTCAAGCAATTCTCCTACCTCAGCCTCCCGAGTAGCTGGGACTACAGGCGTGCGCCACCATGCCCAGCTAATTTTTGTATTTTTAGTAGAGACGGGGTTTCACCTTGTTGACCAGGATGGTCTGGATCTCTTCACATCGTGATCCACCCGCCTCGGCCTCCCAAAGTGCTGGGCTTATAGGTGTGAGCCACCGCGACCGGCCCTATATCTTCTTTTAAAAAAATTTTACTTTAAGTTCTGGAATACATGTGGAGAACTTGCAGGTGTGTTTCAACTTGTGCTGTGGTGGTTTGCTGCACCTATCAACACATAACCTAGGTTTTAAGTCCCTGAATGCGTTAGGTGTTTGTCCTAATGATCTCCCTCCCCTTGACTCCCACTCCCCAACAGGCTCCGGTGTGTAATGTTCACCTCCCTGTGTCCACGTGTTTCCATTTACGGATGTACTTTTTATAGTAATCTGACATACATCCCTGCATATGCCCAAAGAAGCCCTTATTTAAAAAAGTAAAATTCTAATAACCTGACAATGGCTTTACATTTAATGATTAGAAATTGATTTATATCAATATTTGAATATGTATACAACCCTAAGTTTCTTGACACTGTTGGAATAGTTTTTCCTTTTGCAGGAAACTTCCAGAATAGGAAGTGTGCAGTTTACCTTCATATAATTTTACCATTCCTGATATACTTAAATATGCATTATTAACATCACTCACAGACAGTATAGAAGGTATGAATCTTGTCAAAGGAAAACATGTGCCCTTTCAGTGAGTCATAAAAACATAAATCCTGGGAGAATATAAAAACTGGGGAGTCAGATGTCCAAATACTGTTAACAATCAACTCAAGAAATCCATTGTGTGTTTCACTGGCACTAAGCATCAGACCCAGCTTGATCTCATTGTTATTTGGGGTTATACAAGGCTCACCAAGTTTCCCTTTAAGCCTCTACTTAACTGGATTCCAATTCTGTTCTTCCCCGAAGTATATTTTATTATTAAATCAACCCAGCACTTCCTAGCTAAACCAAAAGTTTAAAGCAACTGGTCCAAAGACAGGTATCTCCACTGATACTAAAATAAATCTTTCTTTGTTTTCATTACCTTAATCTATTTTGGCTTGTATTTCTTGGCAGGCAACTCCTGTGAAGAGATACAGACATCTAAAGACCTGAAAAACCAAGGTTCCTCCTATCATTCCAGTATTTATTTTTAAATCTTTGATCATTTCCTCACAACCTAGCTTTCTTGTCCTTTTATTTTATTCAAATTTACAAACAAAATTATGTGTCTGCTCCCACGTGTCCCTTTAGTCCCTACTGGGCTGGACAAGTCCACACCCTTGGCAGGTTTTCTTTTATGGCGACTATGAGAAGAGTATTTGCTTGTTTGGTATCCGTGATAATTGCCTATAAATTAATGCTCATGTGTACAGCAACAAAGGTAAGCACTTCTAGAACAATTTTTGCTTGGTTAAACTTTTTATGAAGTTCTGATTCTGCAGGTTCATGATACAGAGACAGAAACCCAAAAATGTGTGAGAGACAGGCACTGTGTGCTATGAACACTGCAAGTGTCTCCCTTTTTGCTTTCTTTTTATTTCTGTACTTCTAACAAATGAAATAAAGCTGTTCTAAAAGAATTGAGGAGGAAATTGGCAGATGATGTTTTTATATTTTGGGAATGGAATTTACTTTAAAAAGGGAGAACAGGTAAACACAAACATCAAAGAGCAAAGTGGAAATCATGACAGTTATCAAATAATTACAAGACAGAGGGAAGTCTGGAGGTTGAAGAACTGCAGTGGGCAATGCTCCTTTTCATAGGGTTGTAATTTTCATTTTCTTTGCTTTGTGTCTTCCAATCCCTCTTGTTACCTCCCTGAAGAAAACATTAGACAAATTAAAGCTATGCCAAAATGCTAACAAGCCACTTTAACCACCTGTTCTCTCAAATACAGCTTGTTTCCAAGTCCTACAACCCGAGGGAGACAGAGACCAGAAGATGGTATTCTCTTTCTCTTCTCCTCTTCCACTCCTAACACTCCAACTGTGCGTTGCCTAAAGTTAATTTGCAAAGGGGATCTCAAGGGAAGCCACGCCAGTCTACTGAAGTACGGATCCATCCCCAAGTCGACAAGAGGGTGGGCGCGAACGTGGAGAAAGTGGGGAGGGCTGACGAGCAATTCAGAACAAATTTCCTCCGAGGTCCAGTCGCCCTTCAGCTTTTTTTTCTCATTGAAAAGGAGGAGAATTGGGAAGATGGGCCCCTTGTCCCTACAACGCCCCCCAGCGCGGAGCAGAGGTCACAGAAGTGTCAGCGCAGCGCATTTGCTCGCAGGAGCAGCAGCTCCGCGGCTCCTCCCGCTCGGTTCGTTGCCACCCACGCAGGAAGCCTCCTTGCTGTGCCTCTAGGCTATAAGATGCGTTAACCCGCGCAAGACCTATATCAGTGCCCACAGCCTCAGTTTACCATATGTAAAATGATGGGGTTCCTTTCAGTTCTAACATGTGAGTGCTTTTATTCTCACATCCTCCAAAAGGTAATCAACTGCTCTCCCATCCGACCTCCCCTCCCAGGAGACGCCTCTTTGAATCCCCAGTGTTCTCTCTTTTCACTCTCCCACGCCAGTTTCGACAGACCCCAAACATACTTATCCACGATGTGTCCATAGCTCCCCATCCATGCCCTTCTCCTCCCCTGACCAAATGAATCCGTTTTAAAATCGCTTACTATTTGATACAGCTCCTAAGAGGCTTTGCCAAAAGACGTCCGGCAGCACCACAGGGCTAACTGTTTTCCCCGGGATTCTGACCCCCATTAACTAATTCCTAGCTCCCATCACCCGGGAGCTAGGAGGCCCAGCACCGCCGGGTGCGGTGCGTGCGCGCGCGCCGGGCGGGGGGAGCCTTGGCTGCAGCGAGGACGAAGGCGGGGGCGGTAACACGGGTCCCCCATCCGCCCCCAGCGCTCGGGCCCCTAATGAGCTGCTGAAAGGGAGCGGGCTCCAGTGCGCGTGGCTCGCAGGCCTCCCGGAGTCCGGGGCGCCCTGATTGGCCAGCTGCGCCTCGCGACCTCCATTCATTAATAAATTAGCGGCACGCTCCAGCCGAGCGCGAGCCACCAATCACAATGGACAGCGGCGGCGACAACAGCCGCAGCTTGAGCCGATGCGGCCGCCCCGGCTTCGTCAGCTTCGGCCGCAGCCTGGAGCTCCAACAGGAGCTTTAGAACCATTTTATGCTGATTAGATAAAGGGGGAAAAGAGAGGCGGGGTGGTGGGAGGAGGAGGATGGATGGCAGGGCCAACGGAGGGTGAAAGGCGGTGAAGAAAGAGAAAGAAATGAATGATGATAATGCAATGAAAAGAATAAGCTAGGGGAGGGAAAGCGAGGGAGAAGGGGGGCAGGAGGAGGAGGCGGTAGCGGGGGAGGGGGGACCCCGGGCAGATCTGATTGTTTTCTTGGTGGTATATAAGGGGTTTTAAGGAGAGTCGTGTGCCAGACACGCAGCCACTGAACCACAAGCAGCTTCGCTTTAACTGGAGTGCCTGGGAGTCGCGTGCCAGGAGCCGCACGGCCAGGGACTGACTGACAGACAGACACGCACCACCACCACAACACAGGACACCCGGGCTGGCCGCCGCCGCCGCCGGGGCTCTTGGCAAACCCTCCGGTCGCCGAGATCCCCCGCGGAGCTGCGCCACGGTAGCGCCGGGCTTGCAGCTTTCGCGCCGGGCGAAGGACGCGGCGCTGCGCTCCCGACTGCAAGATTCCGGGCACACACCAAAGCCACAGCAACGCCGAGGCACAGTTAGAGCCAACTAAGTAAGTATTCTAGCCACGCTTCCAACTTCGCAGGTGGTTTCCCGCACCTGATCAATGCAACCACGCCCGCACGCCCTCTGCTCCGCGCATAATCTTTTTCGCGGAGGCCTCCGTGTCCCTTCTCGAGGCGGGAACGCAGCAGTCAGGACCGCCCGCAGAGGGCAGGACCCGGCTGACTGGCGGCAGGGTCACAAGGAGCGCGCTAGCGGCGCTCCTGACCTTGGCTAGCATTGACTGGGTTTCTTCCCCACCTTCCACCTCCGCGCCATTCCGAGCCAGTCTTCTCCGGTGAGCGCCGCAGCAAGCGCAGCTATCCAAGATCGCGCCTCTGTTTTCTTCCTTACACCTCACTGCCTTTTCCTCCTTCCCCTCTCTCTTCGGTAGGATGTTCGTCAAATCCGAGACCTTGGAGTTGAAGGAGGAAGAGGACGTGTTGGTGCTGCTCGGCTCGGCATCCCCCACCTCGGCGGCTCTGACCCCGCTGTCGTCCAGCGCCGACGAAGAAGAGGAGGAGGAGCTGGGCGCATCCGGCCGGGCGGGTCCGCAGCATGGGGCTGAGGCCAGCCAGGGGGCGCGGGGCGGCGTGGCGGCGGCTGCCGAGAGCTGCCGGCCCTCGAGGCTGCTGGGTCTGGTGCACGAGTGCAAACGGCGCCCCTCCCGGGCACGGGCCGTCTCTCGGGGCGCCAAGACCGCCGAGACAGTGCAGCGCATCAAGAAGACCCGGAGACTGAAGGCCAACAACCGCGAGCGAAACCGCATGCACAACCTCAACGCAGCTCTGGACGCGCTGCGCGAGGTGCTCCCCACGTTCCCCGAGGACGCCAAGCTCACCAAGATCGAGACCCTGCGTTTCGCCCACAACTACATCTGGGCGCTCACCGAGACCCTGCGCCTGGCGGATCACTGCGGGGGCGGGGGCGGGGGCCTGCCGGGGGCCCTCTTTTCCGAGGCGGTGTTGCTGAGCCCGGGAGGGGCCAGCGCCGCCCTAAGCAGCAGTGGAGACAGCCCCTCTCCCGCCTCCACGTGGAGTTGCACCAACAGCCCCGCACCGTCCTCCTCCGCGTCCTCCAACTCCACCTCCCCCTACAGCTGCACTTTATCGCCCGCCAGCCCCGCCGGGTCAGACATGGACTATTGGCAGCCCCCACCTCCAGACAAGCACCGCTATGCACCTCACCTTCCCATAGCCAGGGATTGTATCTAGAGCTGCCATCTCTGCTACCCACGCCAGGCCTTAGTGGGTCCCCTTTCCTGTCCCCAGCCGAGCCCTCCTCCCTTCCCTTGCCCCTCCTTTCCAAGCCCTGGAAACCATCTCACTTCAAAGGGCAGGTGTAGCCTTTCCGATTCCTTGCTTGTTTCTTGCATTTCCTGGCTTGGGGTCTCATTCATTCAGACAGGCTCTGATTTATTAAAGGTGTGACGGAGCTTACTGTAAAAGCGAAGGGTGGCGTTTTGGAGGCGCTTCTTGAGACGAAAAAGACGCTGGGAAGAGATGATGGTGGCGTATCTAAAGAGTTTGCAGAGCGGACTGACGCTCCTCCCCTTTCTCTCTAGCGCCGGAGGACTTGGAGCAGTTCGTGTGAATCTCGCAGGGGGAATGCAACTGGTTCCTGTGATCCCTTCACCTTTGCTTCTACATAGAGATGTTAATGTCGAGTAGAAAGAAATGTATCTTAGCATCTGAATGATTTTACTGGTAATAATATTATCCACAGATTTGCAATGGCTGGCATCTGCTTTATTCCCATTGCTGTCTGTAGGCTGTGGGAATTTCACCTGTCAAACCAAACTTTCCCTCTCTGATGTGCACTTTGTTCTGTTTCCCAGATTCGTCACAATGCCTATTGTCCTGTCCTTCTCTTTTCTCTTTCTTCCCCATTTTGCCATCTGTCTCTTATGATTTATAAGGGGAAAAAAACTTGTTTTGTTAGAGGGGCAGGTTAGAAGTCATTGTATAATTTGTAGGTTTTGTAATGATTGAATGCAAGCGTGGAAATTTAGGCTGAACTCTCTATCAAAAGGAAAAATGTGGAGGAAAAGGGAAAAATCAGGAGGGAGGATTGCTTCATGCATTATTTATCTCGACCTTTTATGGGAGAAGGAACTCCCCCCATTCTTTAGAGAGATTAAAAATAAATCAACAGTCTAAAAACCTAAGCAGACACGGAGCATTATCGGGATCAGCCACACACGTGTTCCCTTCTATTTATTATAAATAAAATTTTCATGGGAAAATATGTATTTTTTTGTATATTCTACAGAGTTTATTCTAGTATGTATTTACGTCTTGAAGAACAAGAAAGTTGTTCTTGTGATTAAACTATAAATAAAGTATCTAATTTTCATAAGTTTGTGTGTTGTATGATAACTTTTTCTTGCTTATATGATTTTTAGATGCTGAATGAGTTGTGTGTGTGTGTGTGTGTGTGTGTGTGTTTAATTCTCCCCATGTCAAATTGAATACAGTACTTGTATTTTTTGGCAATGTTTTGTGTAGAATTTCACTAAAATCACAAAAAGCTGAATCATATTTGAGACACTAATATTGAAATAAGAATGTAACTCTCAATACAAACACACAATTTATTTTTAAGAAATAAATTTCTGAGCAAACAAGATGAGCAAAAAAGCGGAGAAGAATTTAAATGATAATTAAGTCATGATAAGCTCCAAAGTTTAGAAAAACCTTGATTTGAAAAAAAAAGTGAAGTTGACATTTCTTGGTGGAGTGTGTAGAAATTTGTTTCTTATGCAGTTTGTTTGGTTTCAACTCTCATCTGTAAACTGAAGGCACTGGACGTGACTCCCAAGGGTGCCCCCTTTCCAGCTCTAACATCTGTGGTGTAACAGTACTTATAAATTCATTAGAAGCAGATTTCCTATTAGCCATTTTAACAAGCTAGTTTATTTAAAAGCAGACTCCCACAATAATGCAGATATTTACAGTGAGCTGGAATTGAAAACATATGAAAAAAAAATAGCTCTGCTTTCCAATATTTGTTAAAGTAATTACATAGTCAAAACTTCTTCAAAGAGAAAGCAAAAATGGTTTAACTTACACCCCAATCTCCAAAGCAGCAATGGATGACCTTTGATTGGCTTTGGGTCAAAAATGACCAAATGAAAGTTGACCACATTCTAGGTTTAATCCCCTTGGGAGAGAGTTTCTATGACAACACAAGCTGAAAAAGATCACATTAAACCTTGGTTGTTCACAGTGCCCTCCTCCCCATGAATGTCTTACCTGCATCTGTTTGGGCTAAATACTCCACTCTCCTGCACAATGCAATAATAATTTCTCCTGAGATGTCTATCTGAAACTACTCCTCTCTAATAACTCCATTTTAATCAAAGGAAGAACTAACTCAGGGTTGTTTCATTTTTATAGGCAAACATGAGGGGCCTTTTGGTAAATCCCTTCTAATTTAAAGACTGTGTGACTCTTAGCTGCTCTTTGATTATCTGACAAGGGGAGAAAGTGATATTTCTCATATATTCACTTTTTTTTTTTTTGAGATGAGTCTTGCTCTGATCTAGGCTCACTGCAACTTCTGCCTCCGAGGTTCAAGTGATGCTTCTGCCTCAGCCTCCTGAGTAGCTGGGATTACAGGCGTGCACCACCACACCCGACTAATTTTTGTGTTTTTGGTAGAGACAGGGTTTTACCATGTTGGCCAGGCTGGCCTCGAACTCCTGACCTTGTGATCCACCTGCCTTGGCCTCCCAAAGTGCTGGTTTTACACGCCCAGCCTCACATTTATGTTTCTAAAAAGCCAACCCACCAAGCAAAGGAATCATATAATATGATCGTTTGAAAACATCAGATTTGGTGCTGACCAATGCGGCTTCTGTTGATGATGTTACATATGGTGTTACATGATGCTTCCTTTGGAAACTTGCCAAAGAAAGACTTCATGACAAAATTTCAAGTGAACCTACACCTCCGACTATGGTAAACCTTCTCAATTGGTGAAGCCATCCCATAAAAAGATGACCCTAATGGCTCAGTTGGAGAGGCAGGGATGGACAGACGATTTAATAATCCTAGCTCTGAATAAAGCTAATAAAGCTAATAGAGACTTCACTCTTGACCTAGATGACTTTACACACTTCTTCCAGGTCCAGAGTCTTGTTCAAGTTCTCAAAGCCGGAGCTTGTACGTCCCCATTACACACAAACAGGCACATCCTGAATGCCAGGGCTTCCATCTACAATCAGCAGTTCACACTCAGGCTTTCTCTTCCCCATCTAGAACACATCCTATTTCACACTAAATTGGTGCAATTATTTTTTATGGCGTCTAATAAGTAAGAAAGAGCTTCTGACTGCCTCAGCACCGTTGCAACCTTCACACCCTGTGTCCTGAGCCCAGTCTTTCTCTTCCCTTCCCAGTAGGAATGAGTACAATTAGAGGGTCGAAGCCGCTGCTTCTGCAGTAGGCAACAAAATCATTTTCCCATTTTATCCATTTCCCTCCCGACATTGTGACCGCGCTGTGATGAGCTGGATCTGTGTGCACCAAGCAGGTTTGCAGGCCTCGGAGCCACGGGGCCACGGCGTTCTATTTCTGTTGGCTCTCTGATGAGAGACACTTCAAACAACGCTGTGGAGATTTTCTTCCGGTGACAGTCCCAGACTGCCAGTGTTGCTAGATCTTTCCAACGCCAGCTTAGCGTTTCCTAAGTGGAGTGAGGCACGAAGGTGGGTCCTGTCCTCATTGGAGCGTAGCTTTAGCTCGGCCGGCGTTCCAGGATTGGTTGTATTTATTTGTTCTAAAATGCCCAGGCCTTGTTACGGCTAATTTTTCCTTCACTAGATTTTAAATACATCCATCTGAGTGCCAAGAAGTAGAGAAAAAAAAAGTAGAGAGGCGGACTGCCAACCGATGGGGCCGCCACGGGAGCCGGACCCAGGCTCAGCCGGAGGCAGGAGGAGGTGCTGAGGCTCCCCGGGCCCGCTGCACCTGGAGTGAGAGCCGGGTGGGCGCCCCGGTGCCCCAACTAAGGCTAAGGCCTTGGGCGGCCTTGGCCAGGAGGGAGCAAAGGCCCATTCGGCACTTCCCAAAGCCTGGTCCGATGGCCCAGGAAGGGCGTCTAGGGCCAAGGCCGGCTTCACCCGCCCACCAGCCAGTCTGGGTCACAAGCTCCCGGCAGCTAAAGGGCCGGGCTGGAGGGCGAGGCTGGGAGATGCGGCGCCCTCACCCGCTGGGTACAACCCCCTGCATTACACACCCTTGGGCCGGTTGTGACTTCTGGGCACCGACACCTGGAACCGGTTAAAAGCGCCTCCTCCTCACCGCCGGCCTCGGTCTCCCCCGAGCCCCCTCGGGCTCCCAAGCGAGCTTTGAATGTATTAATTAAATAAAGCGGGCAGCTCTTGAATCGCGCCAATGCAGGGTGCTCCCGGGAGCATGAAAGTCCCGGCCTCCGAATCCGCCAAAGAAATGTGTGAAAAGAGAATTAGTGAAATTAGGTTAGACCAATAAAACGTGAGGGCTCCAATACCCCCCCCCCCTTCCCGTTCCCCCAGCCTGGGGCTAGAAGGGCTACCGGGTCTGATCTATTGTTTCCCGCCCCGGCAGGGGGTTCATTGTGTGATAAATAATTCCCCCTCCATTTTCTTTTATTCTTAAAAAAAATGGGTATTTGCATAATCAGTGCTTTGATGTGGCCAGAAATCCGAGGTTTGGTCTCCCCAAGTCTGCTATTGGTAGCGAAGCAACAAAGCTAGATCCAAATCTTTCACTTCGCTGACAGTGTGTGGGGCAGATTGTCAGAAACAGCAGCGTTAAGCTGCTGCCTCCTTTTTAAAGGATCCACTTTAATGATTAAACTTAAGGAATGTCCAAAAAAGGAGGGATGAAAGACCAGAGTTCCCATCACCCCACCGCCCCCCCCCCCTCGGCCCCCACCCCATGCTTCTTATTGTTCTTTGCAGTTTCTTTTCCAAAGCGCTTGGGTTGGGGGATGGTGCATTTCCCTTGGGGCCGCCCCACGTGGCTCCGAGTGGGCACCGGCAGGGGTCCCCCGGGGCCAAGGAGGGGCCAGGTCTGCAGGAGCGGTCCTCCTCTCCCTGCACGCGTTTTTTTCTTCCCAGTTTGGTTTCTCCAGCCGGGATGGGGTTCATCTTATGGAATACGCTGAAGTGAGTGCTCTTCAGTCCCCTAGTGGAATGAGTGGGGGATAGGGGGGTTCCCTGGGAAGGCAGCTTGGAGGCAGTTTCAGATGGTCCCCGACAGGAGAGGCGAGCAAAGAAATTCAGTCATCCGGAACGCAGATTTCGAAAGCCAGTGTAGCCGAACCTATTATTTCCCTACAAGGTGGCGTGAGTCGGGAGGATGGAGTGGGAAAGAATCCTGATGGTGTGTGCGTTACAACAAATGACTTTTTCCCCCAGTCTTGGTGCCAGGATCGGGGGAGGGGAGATGGGGTGGTTCTGTCTGCTTTCGCTCGCACTCTCTGCTTCTCTAGCTGCTCAGAGCGCGAAAGGAGAAATGCCAACTTGGACTACTGAGAACACCGAGTGAAAGGCCAGGCCTGCCTGAGCACCCGGACAGGCGACGGCTTCGCGCTCCAGCCTGGAGAGGTGTCAACTGCGTGAGAGATGCTGGGCCTCCCGGGATCCAAATCGGAGAGGAAGTCAGAGATGGAAGGGGTAAAGGAGGAGGATCCTTGAAACACCTGCGCGTCCAGGGTCCCACTCCTTCTCCTCAGCCCCGCATCTCACCGAACTGACCCCGGGCCAGTCTTCAGATGTCCGAGCACCTTTTGGATGGCAGAGCTTCAGCGGTGGTTAGCTCATCGACAATTCTCTTTTTACTTGGTTATATTTGCCTTTTACTTTTCAAGGCTGTAACTATATAAGCATTCGGTTTTCTGGGTAGTCAGTTTCTTACAAAAGTTATATATTTCTTAGGAAATAAAAGAACCCGGAATCCACAGTTCTTTCCAATGGAAATATACTTTTAAGGCTCGACTTTAGAGGCAGCTCTTTAGATTCGTGTTACCTGGGAGATTCTCTTCTTACTGCACATGGAAGTCCAGCCATGCAAAAAATCAAGAGGCAACACGTTAAAAGTTATTTCCGGCCGGGCGCGGTGGCTCAAGCCTGTAATCCCAGCACTTTGGGAGGCCGAGGCGGGTGGATCACGAGGTCAAGAGATCGAAACCATCCTGGTCAACATGGTGAAACCCCGTCTCTACTAAAAATACAAAAAATTAGCTGGGCATGGTGGCGGGTGCCTGTAATCCCAGCTACTCAGGAGGCTGAGGCTGGAGAATTGCCTGAACCCAGGAGGCGGAGGTTGCAGCCGAGATCGCGCCATTGCACTCCAGCCTGGGTAACAAGC